ACCAGACGAAAGGCCATACCATAGAATTACCATGAGGTTATTTTTTGCTAAAATCTAAGTTCACCCGTGGCTAAATCAAGCATAAAACATTTGTCCAACTCAAGGATCGATTTACGTTAAGAAAAATAAAAAATTGTCAAAACGTATCTAAGATCATACAGGGAAAGTTAGTATTAGAGTATTTTGTGTCAAAATTGTAGTTCAACCATGGTTAAAATCAGGCTTCATACATTGCTCCAACCTAATACTCGGTGTATGTTCATAAAAATCCCAAAAAATGTAAAAATATACCATGGTCTTACCAGAAAGTTAGCTTTATGGTATTTTTTGGAAAAAAGAATCATGTGAAATTATGGTGAAATTAGGCGTCACAAATTGTTCCAATCCGAGAGTCGATCTATGTACATAAAAAATCAAAACTGTAAAACCATACTGAAGATCGTACAAAAAAAAATTAACATTACGGCAGACTGTGCTAAACTCATAGTTCAACTGTGGTTAAAGTTTTCCATACATCTAAAATCACATACTGATTTAGATTCCGTTAAGAGTTTTTCAATTGAATCATCAGTAAGGTCCAATCACAGTTCACTCAGACAGTTGTGTGTGTTGTCAAAACAACATACTTCAAACGTGGTTAAAGCAAGTTTGACCTTTTGGTCCGGCCCGAGTCTCGATTTATGTTCAGAAAAATCGAAAATTGTAAAACCATACATAAGGTTGCATTACACTGCTTTCTGCTAAAATCATAGTTCATGTCGTTAAAATCAAGATTGACACTTTGTTCCAATCCGATCCTCGGCTATTGGCAAAAAAATTATAAATTGTTAAATCACACTGACGGTCATCTCGAAAAAGTTGAGATTACGCCATTACGGTGATTAGTTCATGTCGTTAAAATCAAGATTGACACTTTGTTCCAATCCGATCCTCAGCTATTGGCAAAAAAATTATAAATTGTTAAATCACACTGACGGTCATCTTCGAAAAGTTGAGATTACGCCATTACGGTGATTTTAGCTGTATCACATGATTTACACATGGTTTAACTACAATTTTAGCTCAAAATGTCCTAATGCTAATTTTTTCTCTACAACCTTTAAAAATGGTTTTCAAAATAGTATACTAAGCAGTAGCAGATGATTAATTAGGCTACCATACTCTGCTAATTTGGATTAATTAAGGATGATTTTTTTCCCAAAAAATTATCACCTCATTTCATGGAGCTCGAATTGTGTAATATGTGGTGGTTTTCAATCACGCTGGGTTTATTTTGCTTACCCTTTCTTCCTAATTGAAGCATGTTGATATCTATTTCTTCCAGCTCCATGTCTTTCTCTACCCAACAGCCATTTAATCAGCAGATTGATTTTTATAAAAAAAAAACAGCAGATTAATTCTTTCGATGGCCAACCCAATAAGCCCAGCCCATGAATTATTTGTCATGGGCTGCAGTGTCTTTGCTTCACCAATTTACCTATTAGTATTTTAACAAATAACTGCCGATTCCTGCCTATTTAACCACTTCTCTACCACGTCCATCTTCCAATCACGATCCCACTTCCTATTTCCACGTTTTCCACTCCATGCGGCCACATGGGCCTTTCTCTACATTAATATTCAAATAAGAAAGCCCAAAAACCACATGGGCCTCGATCTACATTACAAACCTAAACCTAATCTCCATACATATAAAAGACCCCTATTGCTACATCCGTGTACATATATAAAAAAAATGGATCCACTACCAAATTTTATACCACCCACGATTTTTAATCAAACCACTAACTGCCAATATGCAAATTTCTCCCACTATCCCACTTTTCACACACACATACTCCACTGCATGCGGCGAAGTGAATCACGTGTGTAGAACCACTTTCTCTCCTTTATATAATGGAGATACCACTTTCTCTCCTGTTACAATTTTCGTTTACTACTTCCCAAACAAAACACTTCGGCTCCAATCACCGTGCGAATTGTATACAATATGCGGGCCTACCTCAATTCAATCAGTAAGTACTGCTCATGCATCCAACCAATACTACATCATGTAATTTCGATTCCTTTTCACTACTGAGTGCCAAAACTTACAGTCCAATATATAGGCTTTCCCATGGTTTTATTGCTAATCTGCAATACGATGATGCTGTTGAAATTTGTGAGCGTGCCAACACCATCGATCTCATTATGTTGCAAGTGGATGTCGAAAATCAGGTAACTAAACGAATAAATTTCTTTTTAATCGTACGCCTTTTGTGGCATGCTGCATTTTCTCGATTTGCTTTGACCATATTCATTTCTGTGTTTACATCAGGGCACCTCTTTTCTGTTATCCGACGTGTAACGGATTTGACGACGTCCTGGTCCCCTGCATAAAAAATCCATTTCGTCCACTTCACAATTGAGGACGATTTCATTGGTGTTGACATCGTCTTCCCGTCATCACAGTTACGAACGATTGTTGGATCTGTATTCAGTCATGCAGATGTTGTCAATGCTGACTATATGACCCTTCTGAACATGCTTGGAGGACAGACATTTGAAGTCATGGTCACAGTCGGTCCCTGGAACAATGCATTTGGTTATTGTGAACTTATGTTGGTGAAATTATTTTTGCCTTTGTTGAATTGAGTACCATGTCATGAACAATGAGACAATGTCTTGAGTTTTCCTAGTTTGGACCTGCATGTTATTTGTCGTAATACTCAACTAGATTAGATTTGTGATTAGTAAAATTTCATGTAAGTATTTTTATCTTGATTAGCTAATCGTCAAATGTATTCTCCTCATCCTTACAATACGTGTGTGAGTGGTATGCTTTTTCCCTTAATTAAATAATGACTTTATTTTTAACTTATTGTGAATGTTCATTCAAATTACATGTTCGTCTTCACCGAATTGCAAAATTGCAACAATCTTATGACAATATATAACAAGACTCATTTCTCGACACTAACATTATAGATATTGTAACTCCATTTTCCTTAAACAATTACGGCCAACGGGCCGGGCTAAATGCTAGTTTTCCGTGATATATGGCATCATCTTGTGAAACTAGAGTGTGGTGGAGATTAACCCATGCCCCCTAATCCAACTCATCATATACTTAAAATTATCTTATGACATTGAAATTTCCCAACACAAAGATGATGGAGGTGGTGATGATATGTGTGAAACCTGAGTGAAATTTCTCAACTCATCTATATAAGGTTGAGCATGAGTTTTTTTAATGGGTAGAATACGAATAAAATAAGATCTATTTTCAATTCAAACAGTCTCCCCAATCTCGACCTCAATATTTAAGAATGCTCATGCACAAACAATTGCACCATATAATACTTAGCAAAGAACATTGAGGGATAACAAGTTTAGCATCACCAACATAATCAACAAGATTAGTTATGAATGAATGTTCAGTGGGGCATGAATTTGTCGCATCTCACCAAAATGTATCTCTATATACTTTTTTTTGGAATAGCTCCTTCCCCTTCTGCGATGTATTCTCTATAGGAATTCTGTGTATACCACCCATGTAAATTATTTTGATTCTACCTTTATTGTCTTTGAATTCGAAGTTAATTAATTCAATTCTTTTATACCCTCTACCTTTACAATGAATAGATTTTCAGTAAGTAATCATTGAAAAACCTAATCTTTTGCCAATGATCCATCATCACAATATAACTATTAGATATAATAATCATAAATCAATTAATCATAAAAACACTAATTAGGCTCATCTATTTATTCCTAGGGGTACACACGATCATTATTCTTCCACTAATCTACTCAGATTTTATTGTGTGGCGGTGGATGATTATGATAGTCCACAAGTCTAATTTAATTTTGGGTTAATATCTTAGTTTGACCCGAACTATAGACAAACTTTCTACTTTGGTTCGTGGTATCGGAAATTGCTATTTTGGCCTAAACTATGTAGCATACTTTCTTATTTGGCCTGGTGGCGGGTTTGACCGTCAAATTAGACGGTCAACCGAGTTGACCGTTAGTCAAAGTCCACCTCACTTTCTAAAATTAATTAAAAATAATTTGGGGAGCTTTTTTAATTAATTTTTTTGTTTAGTATTTTTATTATTAGAAAGTAAAAAAAATTCAAAAAATTCAAAATACAACATTAATTTTTTATTCCCTAATAGCTGACGTGGCAAGTGAGGTGGACCTTGACTAACGGTCAACTCGGTTGACCGTCTAATTTGACGGTCAAACCCGCCTCCGGGCCAAATAAGAAAGTATGCTACATAGTTTAGACCAGAATAGCAATTTCCGATACCACGGGTCAAAGTTTGTTTATAGTTCGGGCCAAACTAAGATATTAACCCTTTAATTTTATTGTTTTCACCTGTGGGAATCCGGTTGATGGACTCATAGTCCATGCGGATGATGAGTTAGCTCACGCAGGGGAGGAACGAGGCCACGATGAAGAAGGATGTCCACATCGTTAAGAGATGGGCCAACCAGCTAGGTTAGCTGCTGCTGCTCGCGAAGCTGTTACAGTAGCTGTTAGTATCTTATTTTGGGCTTAGTGACCTTGCAGCCCAGTTATGTTTTTAACAACAAAAAATATCCGGCCCATCAATTTCTTATGGCCCAACACTTTCTTCTTCGTAATGGTTGCCAAAGTAGGCAAACCAGATTCCCAATCTGTTTGTTTCTGAATGCTAAAGTTTTTTGAGTTAATTGCATTGTTGGTCACTGAGATTACAAAAAACGTGTTTGGTCACTCAAAATATTTAAATCTATTCATGGTCATTACATTTAGTAAAACAATCCAAATTTGATCACTCTCCGTCCAACTCCGTTAACTTTGTCTGATGTGGCAGTCAACTCTTATAGTTGACCGTTAAATATATGACGTGGCAATTAAAAAAATTAAAAAATTAATTTTGAAATTTCCACCTCATTATCAGACGGCGTGCAGGCGTCGAATCCCGTGGGAGGCCGCGTAAGCAAAGAGCTCGCCACCAATCTCATTATATTTAACGTCGTCGTAATCGATTTGGCGGCGGCGGCCGATTTCCACGTTGATCTCGTGGATCGGGGGCAGAGTCGTGGCGGCTTGAGATGATTCCGGAGACAAATTGGTTGAATTCGTTGCTGTTGTTGAAGGATTTGGTGTCTAAATTGAGGACAGGGACGCCTTTCCAGACGGATCTCCACCGCGGGGAGAGGGCGCAAGTTTGGACGGCGAGTTTCGAGTCGAGGAAGGAGAGAATGCAACGGAGGAGATGGTCGGGAAGTTCGCTGAACCTGTCATTCTTCCGAGCTTTCTTCTTCCAACAGCTACACGTAGGGCAGTGGGAGCTGCCGTCGCCGCCGCTGATCATCATCGTAGGTTTAGTACTTGAGGACCAGAATACCCTCTGAAGTCCGCGTCGCATCCGCTAGAGTCGAGGAGCTCCATGAATCCACCACCGAACCCGCGCTGCAGCTACGGCGGCATCATCATCGTGTTAATTTATAATTCAAGTACCATTATGTAATTATGCCAGCTGACTTGTACCTAGGGTTTGTTCTATCAAACCAAACATATAGATATGTACAGCCGAACCCAGTAGAGGTTAACGTGAATAAGAAAGACTTTGGAGAGCTCTGCCTCTCCCGTGGACTAGTCCTGTTCTCAGGGAAACCACGTTAAATCGTTGTGTTCTTTATTTCCGTTCATAGATTTGATATGGTATCAGAGCCTGGTTCCATTGTCCTTGGGTTTTGGCGTTCTCTTTGGGCTGCAGGCGTCTGTTTTTCTTCTCGCCGATTTGGGATCTTTTGCAGCTGTTGGTTATAGGTGAGGCGCTACTGGTCTTGTGGGATTTATTTGGTTGAGAGTTGGTTTGCTTTGTCTCAACGTAGGGAATATGGATTCCTCCAAGCTTAACACAGTTGCAATCAAGTTCGATGGTAAGAATTTTCCACTATGGGAATTTCAGTTTAGGAACTTTGTTGCTGGTCAGCGTATGGTTGGGATATCGTTAGGTGAGGTCAAGCCTCCTACCGCTGATGCCGCAGCGAAAGATCATGAAGACTGGCGGCTGTAAACGCGCAGCTCATTACGTGGTTGGCTGCTAGTGTTGACGTCCCTACGGCTTTGAGATCGAGATTGGCCGATTGTCGCAGGGCGATCGTGAAGTTCGCAATTATTATCAGGCGAGTCTCCATCTTTGGACTGGATATGATATGTTGACTGCGTCATTAGTCACAGGGGCTGAATCGGCGGCCATCATTAAGGAGCGAAGTCGTACAAGAGTCATGCAATTTCTGTCCAAACTTCGCCCCGAATTTGAGGCCATTCGAGCCTCGCTGATTCATCGTGGCGTCACTACCATTGATGAAGTCTTGGCTGAGCTTGTTCGGGAAGAAACACGGCTTCGGAGTCAATCTCAGATTGATGGTTCGCACCCTACGGAAGCAGCCTTTGTCGTCGGCCTATCTGGTACTTCACGGCCTCAGTTTAATCGGCCTCCATCTGGGGAAGTCACTTGTCATTTTTTTCGAGAAGTTGGCCATTATCAAATCCATTGCAAGAAGAAGAACTATTGTAACTACTGTAAGAAGTCGGGCCATATTGTTCTCGAATGTCCTCCATTAGTTCGTCGCGGGAAGGTGCGCAATCCCTATGCCTCTGGTTCGTCTAGCTCTGGCTCATCATTTGCTGTTCAGGAAAGTTCTTCCTCACCAGCAGCAGGTTCCTCCTCCATTGATCCAGACTTGATTCGTCGCCTTGTTCAAGAGGCGATTCAAGAGTCTCTCCCCAGTGCTCTCACCTCGGCTTTCGCTACGGGTGCTACCGCAGGTAATTCATTTCGTTGGCTACTTGATTCGGCAGCTTTTAATCACATGACATCAGCCCGTACATCCTTTGCTAAGCTTCGACCCTCCACGCACCGCCAACTTCAAGTTGCAAATGGGGCACAGTTGCCCGTGCTTGGTTGTGGTACAGCTAAGGCTGGTTCTGTCAATCTTCCTAGCACTCTATATGTACCCCTAGCTTGTTCCCAGTTTGGTTTCGGTTGGCCAATTAGCAGATGATGGTTGTGAAGTCAAGTTTAATTCCAATGGTTGTGTTGTGCAGGATCAAAGGACGGGGAGAGTAATAGGGAAAGGAAGTAAACATGGGAGGCTCTTCGTGCTGGATGAGCTTCAGGACACAAATCATGGAGGATCAGCACGTGGAGGTGAAGAGTGGCCGAGCCTTGCAGCGGCTGATGATGAGGGTATGGAGCATGTGGGTTCAGTCCAAGATAGTCGCATTTTGCATAAGTCAGATTTGGAGTTTTTGGATTTCTAGTTGTCGGATTTGGATTTTTGGGATTGTAAGAATTCAGGTTCTTCTAATTGTATGGGCTATTCGGTTAAGCCTTTGGATTTTTCGGTTCAGTCTTCTACTTGGGATTTATGGCATTGTCGCCTGGGTCATCCGCATTCAGCTCGTTTAATGACTATGTTTCGTCATAATCTTCTTCCAGATAAGATCAATTTGAGTTCTAGTTCACCTGCTCCTTGTGTTAGTTGTATTGAGGCTAAGGCACATCAAATATCCTTCTCACCGAGTGAGACTGAATATGAGAACTCATTTGATCTAGTACATTCAGATTTATGGGGGCCATCACCAGTAACAGCGCGATTGGGGTATCGTTACTTTGCTTTGTTCATAGATCATGCTACGAGATATACGTGGGTATTTTTTCTTAAACATAAATCTGACTTGGCATCCATAGCCAAAAACTTCGTACAGATGGTGAAAACTCAGTTTCACAAGACTATCAAGGTGCTTCGATCTGTGAGTCGTGTCCGGGAGTATCACAGCAGAATGGGGTTGTAGAACGCAAGAATCGCCATGTATTGGAGCTTACTCGCGCTCTATTATTCCACTCGCACGTTCCAGCACGGTTTTGGGTAGAAGCCATTCATACGGTTGTTCACCTCATTAATCGTCAGATCACACCTCTGTTGGGTCATATTTCGCCATATCAGTCCTTGTTTGGAAAGGTACCAAAATACTCAGATCTTCGTGTTTTCGGTTGCGCTTGTTTTGTTTTGCTCCCTAAAAGAGAACGACATAAGCTTCAACCGAAAATAGCTCGTTGCGTATTTATGGTATACAGTGAAAAACACAAAGGCTACTTTTGTTATGATCCAGTGCAACGTCGTATGAGAATTTCGTGCCATGTGGTTTTCTTGGAACAAGTGATGTATTACTCCATGAACAAAGATGACTTACCTTCCACTGAATCATTGGATTTTCTTACCTATCTACCTCGGTTTGATGGCGTTCCGCCTGTCATTGGGCTGCAAAGTGATGAGTCAAGTCATCACTCCTCTTTGGCTGAATCTGGATCATCATCGTCCTCTACGTCCACTTCTAGTTCGTCCGGCTCGGGAGATACTAGTCCTGGATCTAGTGGTTCTTTGAGTATCTCTACTGCCCATTTAGGATGAAATAGTCCTAGTACAACCCATTCTTCCTCACGTGGTGATTCCACTACTGTTGCGCCTTCTTTGCCTGAGCAAGTACAAATTCCTCTTCGACGGTCCTTGAGAGCAAATCTCGGCCAAACTCCACCTCGCATTACTGGTTATGTAGGCTTCTCCGCGGCTCCGATTGCTATACCTTCATCCTATGCTGAAGCCAAAGATGATCATAATTGGAATGGAGCGATGCAGGTCGAGATAGGGGCGCTAGAAGCAAACCACACGTGGGATATTGTTCCTCGGGAGCCAGAGATGTTGGTAATTGGTAGTAGGTGGGTTTATGCAATCAAGATGCACTCTGATGGTACTCTTGAACGTTTCAAGGCTCGGGTTGTTGCAAAAGGCTTTCTACAGGAGTTTGGTATAGATTATGATGAAACTTTTGCTCCAGTGGTCAAAATGCAGATTGTACGTTGTGTTTTTGCAGTAGCTGCATTGAAAGGATGGCCGTTAATTCAGATGGACGTGAAAAATGCTTTCCTCCATGGTGACCTTAAAGAAACAATATATATGGAACGACCTCCAGGATATACGAAAGGTGGTCCGGGTATGGTTTGCAAATTGGTTCGATCACTGTATGGTTTGAAACAAGCGCCTAGAGCATGGTTTGAAAAGTTTCACGGTACGATTGCTCAAGAAGGATTTGTGCAGAGTCAAAACGATCCTTCCTTGTTCATTTGTCAGACTGTTGATGGGATTGTGGTACTTCTGATCTATGTGGATGACATGGTGGTTACCGGCAGTGATACAGAGGGGATAAAAGAGCTAACTGCATCCTTGCGTCGTGCTTTCAATCTCAAAGAGTTGGGAGATGTTGAATACTTTCTGGGACTGCAGGTCAAGCGGTCACCTCAAGGCTTATTTGTTTCTCATAAGAAATATATTCAGGATTTATTGGAGACTGCGCGATACAGTGATTGTGTTCCTTGCTCCACACCCATGGAGCAAAACCTCAGGCTAACGCGGGATAGTGGAAATGTGTTAGAAGATCAGACAACTTATCGCAGTTTGGTGGGAAGTCTTATTTATCTCACACATACGAGACCTGATATATGTTATGCAGTTCAAGTAGTCAGTCATTACATGGGAGAAGCGAGGACAATGCATTTAGATGCAGTTCACCGGTTGCTAAGATACCTGAAACAAACACAAGAAGTGGGCATGTTTTTCCCATCCACTGGCGAACCAGAGATTGAGGCCTTTGCTGATGCAGATTATGCTGGCTGCAAGGACACGCGGTGTTCTACGTCAGGATGGTGTGTCCGGGTAGGCAAATCCTTTGTGTCTTGGCGTTGCAAGAAACAAGACCGGGTGTCGAAATCATCTACAGAGGCAGAATACCGTTCGATGTCGGAGGTAAGCTCTGAGATGGTTTGGCTGTTGCGGCTCCTTGAAGAGCTGAGTGTCAGATGCCGAGTTTCGATGCGTATCTATGGAGATAATACTAGTGCGATACAGATTGCCATCAATCCTGTATTGCATGATAGGAGTAAACATATAGAGGTACACGTGCATTATATTCGGCAGCTGGTTGCAGAGGGTACAATACAGGTTGGTCATCTGTCTACAGAAGATCAGACTGCAGATCTCTTGACTAAAGCAGTGGCATCGGGCAGACATTGGTACTTATCTTCCAAATTGATGTTGCGCACCCAACATCAATTTGAGGGAGGGTGTTAATTTATAATTCAAGTACCATTATGTAATTATGCTAGCTGACTTGTACCTAGGGTTTGTTCTATCAAACCAAACATATAAATATGTACAGCCGAACCCAGTAGAGGTTAACGTGAATAAGAAAGACTTTGGAGAGCTCTGCCTCTCCCGTGGACTAGTCCTGTTCTCAGGGAAACCACGTTAAATCGTTGTGTTCTTTATTTCCGTTCATAGATTTGATACATCGTCTGTGGAAGAGTGAGTAGAGGTCGGGACGGAGGCGGAGGAAGAGAGAGGAGGAGCTGAAGAAAGTGGCTTGGGCTATGGGTTCTTGTGGCGGAGAAGGAGCGACGGAGGCGGAGGAAGAGAGAGGAGGAGCTGAAGAAAGTGGCTTGGGCTATGGGTCCTTGCGGCGGAGAAGTAGCGATGGAGGCGGCGGAGGTGGGATTGGGGTGCAGTTGATAATTAGTGATGTTTAGAGGGGGAATTCTTTGGTGCCGTTTCGGCACTGTGCAGTCATATTTTTTTGATCGGTTAAGAAAATTGGGTTTGTAATTTGAGTGGGTTTGATTTGGCTATTTAATGAATAAAAATATCAAAAAGGTTAAAATAAACTAAAAGCAAAAAGAGCCAGCCTACGTGTTCCATTTTCTTCCACTCCTTTTTTCTTTTCTTGGTCCTTCTACTGTGAAGCTAAGGCCACCTCCTCATTGAGTCGCACCAGCAAACACCATTTTTGCCGTCGACCATCACAAGCAAAATTCCGATCTCTTCGTCGTCGGTGAAAATATCACCACCGTCATCAGCCCGTTGTCACTGTCTGGTCATCGCCAGTCGTGGCAGTTCACAATCAACATCGCCGTTTGTCGCTGATCGGCCGACCATCAACACCCAAATCACGCATCATCGGAAGTCAAAATTACCACCGACATCAGGCCCATTGCCATCGGGCGATCATCCCCATTATCGTCTCTGTTTTGCCAATCCACGACCATTATCGTCGTTGTCGCCGGTCGGCTATCACCACATAGATCTCGGCCCCGTCAGTCGTAATCGACATCATAATTAAGGATAGGATGGTGATATCCAGGTTCAACTGGTTTTAGCATTATCTCTTAGTGGTGCCCCTCTCTAAATCAAGCTCCTGCCAACCCTTTCCGCCGGCGATCAAGAGACACGGATTCTGCTCGTCGTTTTTCTGAGAAGGGAAAGTGGTCGGCAGGGGAGGATTTTTTGGGAAGGACAAGCTAAAAATATAGGTTCAATTAGGTTCAACCAGTTCTGGTTAAGTGGTGGTCATTATCAACGGTTCTTATTATATATTGCAAATCCAGCGGCTAATAAGGAGGCGGCACTGTAGAATCCGCCTGTTGAGAGAGTTAAATTTTTTTATTTTATTTTAGTGGTTATGATAATGAGGTGGAAATTTCAAATTTATTTTTTTTATTTTTTTAATTGCCACATCATACATTTAACGGTCAACTATGAGAGTTGACTGCCACATCAGACAAAGTTAATAGAGTTGGACGGAGAGTGATCAAATTTGGATTGTTTTACTAAATTTAGTGACCATGAATGAATTTAAATATTTCGAGTGACCATACATGAACATTTTTTGTAATCTCAGTGACCAACAATGCAATTAACCCTTTTTTTTATATCTTAAAATTGATAATCGGCTGTTCCATCCAATCTTCATGTATGGTTCACCAAGAAAGGAAGCGAGTTACTGTTAGTCGATGAGGTTCTCAAGTGATAAGGAGACCCACAATCTTCAACAGCAGCAAGTTCCATTTCTTCTTTTCCTTCTCTAGCCTTTCCCCATATCACTCCATAAAACCCAGCAGATATCACCATTGCCCCAGCAACACTGCAATTATATCCACAAAACCCAAAAAGGGTAAAGGACTAAAAGTTCAATAGCCTCAAATGGAAGACACACATTCACTGCAAATAATTTACATACCTTCCAAGATGGAGATCGTCTCCAAGGAACACCACCCCCATGGCCGCCGCGATCGCGATTGACAGTGGCTTGAAGATGGCCACAAAAACTGGGCCTTCCAAGTGCAGGCACCATGTATGAACGATTGTGTTCAAAAACCCTCCAAAAAACCCCTTAATAACATCAACATAGCAAAGGTAACATTAATCAAATGAAGATGCCTCAGTAAGTAAAGAAACCCACTAATGGTCTTATGAAATTCTAATAAATCTCACCCCATATAGAACAGCAGCCAATTTTATATCAGGCTTGGTTAACATCCATGCATCAACATCTGTCTCTCCCACAAAAGATGCAGCTAGTGATATTGCACTGGTGCACATTGTAATATACAATGCTACTGAAAACTCTGCTGGATACATCTTCAACACTTGAGCCTGCAGATCACAATATTGTTTCCCAAATGAGGCCAGTAATTTCGAATGCACAAGCATTATTGCTGAACTAATGAATAGGTACCTGAACAATATAGCCAAGAGAGAAAAGGAGATGCGCAGTAGCAATCAAGAGTCCACCAAGAAGCCAGTAATTTGAGGGAGAAGTGCCATCTGCTACTACAAGTTCTTCAGGTGATGAAAAAGTGGACAAAATTGTTGGACCTTTGAAAAGCACCACAGCTATTGCTCCTGATATGGAAGATACTGTGCCAATTATCTTGGCCTGAGAGCTTGATCTTCTCAGTGACAACCTTTCCATCCTTCGAAGAACAACAACAGCAGAAAAATTAGAGTTTCTTGGGAGACAAGAAATGCCAGGAAAACTGCAGAGTGTTTACCTGAACATGACAGCAAGTATGAATGTAAAAGCAGGGTTCAGGGTTCCAATGGCTGCTGCTAGAGTTGGGGAGCTGAATCCTATTCCTTTATATACAATCACGAGACCCACAAAGCCAATGAGACCAAGAAGAAGAATCCTCACAAAAAGAGGTCTCTTTTGCTGGGGAAGTGGTATGGTTCTGCAGAAAAGAAAACAAGAGTGGATAAATCATGTTACCCATCGATTTTTCGCGCGTTTTGTGGCTATGGTGTTACAGAAGTGGTTGAAGCAAGTGACCTGTGGAAGACTAGATGAAAAGGGAGGAACAATAGAGCTGCTATGATGGAAGTGTAGGCAACAAAGACATAGTAGCTTAGTCCATTCAAGCTTGCTGCTTTGAACAGAGTGTTCAAACCCACCGTGAAGAACTCCATGGTGATCATGGATATCAATAGCAAGGATTCTTTGTACAGAGATCTTGACGGCGCCATTTTGCTTCCCTTCCTGTGCTCCCTGTTGTCCAGCTTTGATCAGAGAGCATTGATTTGGATCCCTCCAGTTTAGAGAAGTTGATCCCCTCAAGTTACTTGATTTGGCATTGGTCATTGTTGTGAATTAAAGCAGTTGGATTCGTTACCTACCGAGTAGAATTTGGATGGGGAATTTGGTTTACGAAATATGCGAGAAACCCCCTAGTGTCTTTATTTTAGCTGGTAACGTATGAAGAATACAAACAACTTTCTCATATAGTGCATAGGATTGGAAGATGTGTTCTCAGGTTCGGATCCTGTAACTTACCATTGTGACGAAAGTTCTCGAGGATCATCGATATTTGTGTTGCACGAGTAATACACTCTCATGACTTTGTTCGATATTTATGGGGAAGGTTAGCATCAAACATATACATCAGGTGTTATGCTGTTATAGAAGAAGATGCTAAAGAAATTTAAATGTTTCTGTTTATCAAAGTAATTGATGACAGAGAGCTTGTGTTACATGGGTTGGTTAGACTAACTTCAACCCGTAAAGTCAAATTTGGCTATCCAAATAGTCAAATATGGCTTTTTAACTAGGGATGGCAAAAATATCCGTAACCGTGGATATCCGCCCGAATCCGACCTAATCGGGTAGGGTAAAACCCGAACCCGAAGGACTTTTAGTGGGTACGGGTAAAACCCGAATCCGAATGGGTGGGCATGATTTTCTCACTATCCAACCCGAACCCGCCCGATTATAGATATGCATATGTATTTTGTCTAGAAATAATCAATATTTTTCTCTAACATATTTTATATTTAGCATATAAATATTTTTTTTTTTATGAAATTGTGTTGTTTTAGTTAATTTTCTTCATTCTAGTGAATTATTGTCGTACTTTTCGTCTTACGTAACGTGAGAATACGTGTAAATATTAACATATTGGTTGGAGTTATAAAGAGAAACTATTATCCATGGATAACCGTGGATACCCGAAACCCGAACGGGTATGGGCATGGTTTGGATTTTCTACCCGTTTCTTATGTGGGTATGACATGGGTAAAACCCGAACTACTTTGGGTAGGGTAACGGATATGCACTATCCGTCCCCGACCCGGCCCATTGCCATCCCTATTTTTAAATCCCCAAATCCCATTTTCACTCCAACCCTACACAAAGCTAAATTTCGCTTCCCATCTCCCTTTTTTCAATTTATTACAATAAACCATACTTATTTGACCTCTAATTTTCATATTTCACTTTAATTATTCTATAGTTAGTTATTACTTTTGAAAACAAAATTTTTTATGTAATTTTTTTTTAAATTCGAGACAAAAAATATTTCGGAAAATTAGTCATTATTTTGTTACCGTTAAGTTCGGGACCAATGAGAAAATACCAATTAAACATACAACAATTCATATCTTCTTTCAAACAATTAAACAAACAACATACACAATCAACCAATGACAAAATACCACACAAAAAAAGAAAAAAGGAAAACAACACAATCAACCAATGAGAAAATTCCACAGAAACAAATAAAAAATAAAGGAGGACCCGCCGCGGGTCCACCATTTTCTCTAGCCAAATTTGGCTTTTTCACTCTTTTGGGAGCTAAATTTGGCTCCCAATTCACCAATACCCATTTTTAGCTCCCCAAAATAATGTGGGTTGGAGCACCAAAAAAGAGCTAAAATTGGGTAAATGACTTTTTAAATCTAGGGTTGGAGTTAGTGGGGTTGGGTCACAGATGAAGTATAGAGGTAGCGACGGCTGGTGAATGGGTGGTAGTGTACAAGTCTAGTTTTCGCAACCTCTATTCATATTATTTGGGGATTTTTCCATATATAGCACATTTTAAAAAAATTTACAAAAATAGCATCCAGCCGAAAATATTTACAAAAATAGCACCCTTTTTTGTGGACCGCACCTCCAAGGTGCGTTTTACATATAAACCGCATCTCTAAGGTGCGGTTTATTATCCTGGGCCAAAACTGCATCTTGGCCAAGCGGTTTCAGGTCTGACCTACAAAAACCGCTTGGCCGAGGTGCGGTTTTGTGCTGACCTAGCAAAACCGCACCTTGGGGATGCGGTTTGTTTCTCCAAAACTAAATCGCATCCCCAAGGTGCGGTTTTGGCACACAAACCGCATCCCCCAAGTGCGGTTTGTGTGTCAATTATTTTCAGAGCTATGATGCTTGGAACTTTCGTGTTTTCAAATAATCCTCATGAGAACACTCAAGCCTTAAGTTAACACGATAGAAGTAGAGAAAGCCAAGAACTTATAACTAAAATAAAAACTAAAACAACACTCAATTAAAGAAACTAAAATAGAAGGGTTTCAAGTACATAAAAATAAAACAAAACTAAAACAACACTCAATTAAAGAAACTAAAATAGAAGGGTTTCAAGTACACAAAAATAAAACATAACTAAAGACAACACTTAAAAGGATAAAACTAAAGATCCATCTCAAGGAAGTCCCTGGGACTCATGGGGCTGCAAAGTTTTTTGGTTCCTTGTACGACGGTCGACGGGAGTGGCCATCGGTGGTTGCGGTGGCAAGTATCGCTGGGTCGTGCTAGGGCGATCATCAGTACTGTGTCGGCGTCGATCCGTGGTATGCGGCGCTTCCGGGGTCGAGCGAGGGACATTGACGCTCATTCGGTGAGGGGTAGGAGGCCACTTCTGATTTGGGCGAGGAATGGGATTGAAGTCATGATGCGCAGTCGTGGAGGAACCATCATGCCAAGTACCCGAGGATGTGGGGGGTTCATTGAAGAAGTTTGGGCGGGGATCATAGTGATTGATACTTAGCCTTTCCTCAATGGTGGCAAGCGATCCGTCGCATCAACGCTCCCCTTGGTTGGTACTTTCACCCCCAAAACACTATGGATGAAATACTGCCAACCGGTCATATACCGTCACAATCCTGGGGGGGGGGGGGGGGATCACTCACACACACCGCTTTGCCATCGATAGGCAGATGAGTTAGGATGGCGACGTCCTTGAGTGTGATGGTGCACTCTCCTTCGCGAAAGTTGAAACAATGTGTCTCCTTTCTCCATCTCTCAACCAATGCGGTAATGAGTTGGCGATCGACTTTTATGCCTAGAAGATGCCTAATCGACTCCAACCCTGCCTTTTTGAGATAGGGCAAGATAAATGGGTTCCATGGGAGCACATTGGTCGTACCCCTGTTGCGGAGTATTTGTTGTGCCTCCTAGCAAAAATTTCAACGTTATTTATGATATATTAGTAACAGTTTAGTCTTATAACTAAATAAATTGAAAGTAATGTTTAATTTCAACCATTATTAAAATTATTTATGATATATAAGTAATAGTTTAGTCTTATAACTAAATAAATCAAAATTAATGATTTAATTTCAACCATTGTTAAAATTATTTATGATATATAAGTAATAGTTTAGTCTTATAACTAAATTAATTAAAATTAATGATTTAATTTAGAATATAATTCTATTATAATTATATTATTAACGATCAAAATTTAAGTAATTTGCAGTTTTTCCAAGATATATACATATAGTCATAAAACAAACATACTAAATTAATTGGCATAAATAACATACTAAATGAATAATAATTTACGGAGATACATACATATTCAAACATTTGAAATTAATAAATTCATTTAAGTACACATAAACATAAACCGTATTGGTTGTTTGGTAAGTAATTTAATCGTATTGATTGTTTTAAATAATTTAATCGAATACAATGCAACACTCGTTAGACTCTTAGAAGAGGTATACATCTTCTTAGAAATGCAGTCTTTTTGACAGAAAAAAGGGGGATCCGAAGATCTCTTAAAACCCCATTTTCTTAGACGTGCATCTCTTTATAAAGAGTCAAAGTAAGTGTTGCTATGTATTCGATTAAATTATTGAAAACAACCAATACGATTAAATTATTTCAAATTTATTTTATATTCCACTAAGTACATTAGCAAAATAAAAGAAAGATAAATGATGAAGAATTGTATGTACCGGGTGATCGTTCCAAACATCCCTTGAACGATGGTTGGGTTGGTCATACAAGTCGATCGGATCAATAGGCCCTTGATCCAAATTGTACCGTTGGTTGTATATATTCACGTCGTCGCCAACCTACGAGAGAATAACAACAAGGTTAGTACATATATTAATTAAAAAGCTTATAACAGAAACAAAAATTGACCAAAGTAATGATTACGTACCGCTTGAAATTCATCATAATAAACTCCCTCTCCTTGGAACCACTCGTCCATTTTCTCGCGAAAGTCGGACAGAGATTCGGCGTCGGACAAAAATTCGGCGGGCGGGTTTTGAGGGAAAAACCAAAGAAATGTTTTCTGATGGCAGATCGGACTTAGCCGCAACCAACAGACCACTATTTCCTAGGTTTTTGGGAGGGGAGGGGTTAGAGAGCTAATTCTAGAGAAAGAGAGAGAGAGAGAGAGAGAGTGGAGAATGGTTGTGGTGTGAAAAAATGAGAAGGGGGGAGGGGGTATTTATACCCATCAGACCGCACCCTCCAGGGGCGGTCTGGTAATTTTGCCCCAGTCAAAACCGCACCTTCCCGGCGCGGTTTACGCTCCCCGATGGTTGACCGCACCTCGGCGCAGCTGTCTTCAATCCGTGGCAAGGATCGCTGACCTGGCAAGCGGTCTGCCACTGGATCGCTTCTTCATCCTACAGTCCGCAAGGCCGCTGCCCACTAAACACTGACCGCACCTTCAAGGTGCGGTGTTCAGTCTGAGGTGGACTAAAACGCCCCTAAAGGGTGCGGTTTATTTATAAAATGCACTTTGGAGGTGCGGTTTGATAAAAATGGTGCTATTTTTGTAAATGTTGTGGGATGGGTGCTATTTTTGTAATTTTTTTTAATAGATGCTATTATTGGGAAAATCCCTGTTATTTGCTTCTATTTCGATGATGAATGACAAAAAAGACATGTTTATTGACAAATAAAATCCTCTTGATTTTGTAGTTTTTGAATTTTGGATTACTCCGCTCATCCAACTGCCAAACCGCTATCTACTTAATTTGGGCCCAAATGTTTACATTTTACCCCTCATTTCGTATTAGTTTAGTTTAATATTTCATCGTTCCTCGACATATTTCACGCTAGGTTGTGCTTGTTTTGATATATTTCAGGTCCTAGCACGTGTGGAAGGATCGAGGACCAGTTTTGGGATAATTGGTGGTTAAAAAACGCAAAAACCGAAGAAAAGTCCGAGAGATCGTGACGATTGCCTCGTAGCAGTGAAGTGAAGGCGTCCAGGAAACATCCGCAGTTCACGGCCGGACAAGGCAGTTCACGATCTCCTAAGACCGTGAACATGGACCACAAACCGTGAACATCGAGCAGTCCAACGAGGTTCCAGAAGTTACGGATGACAAGACAGTTCACGGTCTCTAAGACCGTGAACTGGGGCCATTGACCGTGAATCCAGGCAAGTGAAGCGGCATTTTTTGGACGACACTGAGTTCACGGACGCGTTTAGGTGTTCACGGCCGTGAACTGGCTAACGCGTCCTTGAACTGGTCACTCTCGGGCAAATATGAAGACAACAGCGGGGAGAGAGAAGGGGGAGCTGGTTTTTGGAGAAGGAACACTTTCTTTCTCAAGGGTTTGAGCCCAAAACACCAAAGGGGAGTTCTAGTGAGAGAGGGAGTGATCTTGGAGTTTAATTGAAGGCATTGATCAAGCTTGGAAGCTAGGAATCAAGCCTAGAAGAAGAAGAAGATCTAGAGGTTTCTTTGTAATCTTCCATCTCTCTCTCTCTCTAGAAACTCACCCTCTTCTCTTGGGTTTGAGAACCCTATGTCTTGATTTTGGTTTGTTGTTGATGTATATGACAAAATCCCTAGTTTGATTGTTGATTTTACTTAATTGATGGATGTTTTCTTGAATGGCCCGAGTGTGGTTTCCATTTTCATGCTTTGACCTTTTGACCTAGGAGTGGGATAATCCCCTTAGAGCCCCTTTTGGTGTCTTCGGGTCGCTCCTATCGTATATTCGCTGGGTAGGTCCCGAGGGAGTTGATTCGACCAGTCTCCTAGCAATATACGATACCCTAGGTTGAATAGAGCAATACACATCCGTCGATTCGCCGTTCCGGGTGATTCCCGAGGGAGTCCATCTCCAACCGGAGTGTATTTGAGTCGATCGAGCTAGGAGGATACCCAACATTGATCCAAAGAACGGACCTAGGACGATTCAACCCAAGAGAGCTCCAAACCTTGTAAATAGCTAGGTTAGTGGTTAGTCTAGGTTAGTTAATTTAATTCTATCAATCACTATCCTAGGTTGGCTAGATAACGTACCCTAAACCTGAAGTAGGGTAAGCGTAGATCCCCGTGGTAGGATCAATTCTTATTGCTTGTTTGCCCTATTCTACACATAGTCGGCGGTTATACTTGGTCGTCAATTGGGATGTTGTAGTTAGAACGAGTCACTACTCAACCCAGCCCGAAACTAAATGTGGGAGGTTGGTGGATCAGAACTTGTCAGACTGTCTAAGAGTGGCTTGGTAAGTTGTATGGCAAAAATCCACTCGACCAATCGGATGTCCACTCCTAGTGTTATATCCCTAAAATGAACTTGGTTGCTAAATCGATGAATGGTGCTTGTAGAATTCATCTTTTACCTAGCTGAGTGATGTGTAACACTTTCTGTATATGACAACATTAAGTTAAGAGTGAAAACAAAATTACCCCTTTTTTGGTTTCTTTTCACTTCTATGGGTTCATCTTAATTAGTGGAGTGGATAGTTGAAAGAAAGAAGTAAGCCATGTATGGCGTGAGAGATGTCATCATTTGTATGGAGAGAAGGATTACTGTTCACCTTTGCAATTGCAGGGAGGGTTCTCCATGAGTGCAGAACTGCTTCTGCAGGAAATCCCAGTTTCCCGGAGAGGATGAGAAGAATTGGAAAAAATCCCAAAATATTCTAATTATTAAAAAAATTCCCTAAATACAGTACTTATAAAATTAATTCCCAAAGTACAGCAGTTTCAACATCACTGTCTTTGTCTAAGACAGTGATAGCATCACCGTTTTGGTCCAAAACGATGATACATCACCGCCTTTGACAAAAGCAGTGATGCTATCACCGCTTTCGACATCAACAGTGATGGATTGACCGTTGATAAGGGACGCAGTCAGAGTATTCACCGTTGGATTCAAAGGCGGTGAAGTGGCGCGGATCGCTGACGTGAACGCGCGCGGGCACTTCACTGCTGAAGACCAAAGCGGTGATAGCCCCGCTTTCCACGTCAGCGATCCGCCCCCACCCGCGCTATCACCGCTGCCGTTCGATGCAGTGAGGTGCGGATTGTGGTTTTTCTCCACAATCCGACGCCTCACACGCCGCCACGTCACCTATCCGTAGTTACTTGAACTACCACCCCAGCCATACCCTCCTGCAAAACCATCATCATAAGAATACTGGTGAGAATGAGTTTCACCGACCGGCTCGGTCTCGACATACACCTCTGCAAGCCGCACCCCGTTCTCAGATATGAACTGTATCATCATGTTCGCGTCGTCATCATCATTTATGTCAACTTTTTCGTACATGGCTCCGTCAGCACTCATGTTGGGATACCGGTAAGTAATTTGACGAACTCTCCTTTGCCCGCCCGTACAAGTCCCTTCTGCACACCTGTCATGGAGTTCTTGCCACGAGAATCTCGATTCAATTTTAAGCATACTGGATTCGCCATTTTCATAGTCGATCCCAATGTTCGAGTTTGTCACCCGACCATTCCACCAAATAAGAAGCCGAAACTTCTTAAATTTACCCATGTCTGCAATTTATAATAATTAAGTATAGTATATAATTAGTACATTATGGATACAAAAACAATATCATCCAAACCCATAACAAAATGCAACTAATTGATCTATTATGAGAAAACTAAACAAATTAATCTAAATTCATAACTAACTAACTAACTAACTAACATCTATCATATCATAATTAATCTAAATATATCATAACATATTTTCCAATAACTGCAATTCACTAAATACAGACATATAATTACTAACACATCAACATGTAAAAAATACATACTTATAACATACTCAATCCCGATCTATCATGAGAAAACTAAACAAATTAATATAAATCCAGTACTAACTAACTAACATCTATCATATCATAATTAATCTA